CTGTGTCCCCCAATGGCCAGGGGGTGGCCAGCATAAGGAGCCCAACGTTTCTGCCCCTCCCCTCCCTGCAGGACTGCAGCTACAGGCCTGGGGCAGAAGACCCTCAGGACCACGTGCTCAGTACCCAGACACCTCTATGAAGTGGTGCAGGGGAAGAAAGGAGGTGAGAAGAGGCATCTGCTAGCCCCATCCCAAGGCTGGATCTACAGGAAATGTTAGTCAAGCTGTGGTCACTGTCCTGTCAGTCAAGCTGTGGTCACTGTCTTGGAGTCAAGTTGAGTCTGCTCTGAAAATAAGGCCACCACATCTAAGTCAAAAGACCCTCTGGTGTCTAGAGTGCTTTCATCAGATTGAATCAGACCTACCCAGATGATGGAGGATTATGATTACGTCAACTGATTAGGGACTTCAATCACATCTACAGAGTACCTTCACTGTAACACCTAGGTGAATGTGTGATTGAGTCACTGGAGACTATAGTCCAGATAAGGGAACCCATAAGACTGACCCTCAGATTTACATTGTTTTTTCAGATTTGTGTGAAATGTCTGAGTGGTCCACCTTTGTGGGTTCATTTTTTAATTTTTGTAGTTTTTCTAATACTTAGAAAAGTTTGTGTTTTTCTTCAGTTGTTTACCTTTAATGTTAAACTTTCAGAAGCAAAGTTGAAAATAACTTGTGTGTTAGGCCTTTCCAGTCACCTCCTCTGTTCAATCCCCCAATTTTAGTTCATAAGGTTATTGTGAATGTTGACCCTTTTGCAGTTAAATATACAGTACTTTTGTTATTTGATTTTCCTCTTTATTTTTTTGACAGCAGCATTTATCTTTATTTAATGGCAGAGGCAAACATGAAGTATGTTGTTAATGTATTTCACATTAATACCATTCCTTAAGGTCTTCGGAACATGGGTAGAATGGGACAAAAATCACTGAGTTCCCTGTAAGTACTTCTTTATTAGAAAACAAATCAGCTGTTTTCACATAGACCACAGAAGAAGTTTAACTAACTTCTCTTGCAATTCTAGAAAAGATCTTTAAACTCCACAATAAGGGATTTTTAAGTTTTCAAAGTGTGGGAGGATAAAAAGTCATACAGGACAGTGTTTCTCAAATTTGGCTCCTTTCACAAACATACTCATGGGGGAAGGGGCTGCAAGTTTTCTACAATAATGTTTTACACTGTTTTAATTCTGCTGGTAATATAAATCAAATTAATATACACTTGTTCAGGATTACCTGGATGGCAATCTTAAGTGTTGCTACATGATCATGGCATCTGCACTTGTGCCTCTGATCCACTGGCACCAAATAAAGACCAATTGTGCTTAAGTTCTCATGCAGTTTCTCAGATTGGGTCCTCATACCCTTCAGGGAATTATTGAACATTTCGTATGAGATCTGTCAGGTGGCAACGTCGAGAATGCTGATTCAGAGCAGTGATTCTCAAGGTGGGATAAGTTGGGGTGGGGAGATGTGTGTGGTAGGAGAAAAAAAATTCAAAATATGCATTGATTTCATAACACGAATTTCATAAAGTCAAGCTCAGCAAAATAACATCAGCTGATGGACAGTAGCAAAAAGCAAAAAGATAAGAATCTTTTCATCAACTTTTTGAAGTACCCTCACAGAATCATTGCCAGGGGGGACCTGGATAAACATGGTTGAGAAACACTGGCTTAGAGGTAGAGGCATGCTGGCACGTGGAGAACAGTAAGGAAGAAACATGCAGAGAGGAAGAACCTCTTTTGGGTCGGTGAGTAAATCCTAAGCCAGAACTGGTCATGGTCTTCTGGAACCCAAAGGGCCAATCCAGAAAAAAACCAAAACGGTCCTTCAACCTTCTTGGCCCCATAGTTAAGGGCAAGTTGATCCACTTTGTAATACTGAGCCAAAAGAAAAAAAAAGCTGTTTTTGCCCAAAACTCCATCCACCAGGAAGTGCTGTCATCATTTTCAGCGCCATCCTGCTCACAGCAGGGGACATCAGCGTGGGGCCAACTCTGTGATTACTGCAGAGCTCCAATCTGCTTTAGCCGCGTCACCAGTTCCCCACTCTGTTGCATAGTTATTAAATCACTGCACCCACCTATGCAATTTTTGCCGATAAAGACTCGAGGCACCGTTCTTGCTCCTGTGAGCTGTTGCAAATAATCTTGAATCTCATTTACGTCGTCGGTGGCTGTGATATCGACAAATTCCAGAACCCCTTGTTTGAAGGGCAACTGACTGAGGATCTCTTGGGTCTTTTTACAGTAGGGGCAGGTGGGCTTGATGAACACGACCACCTTCCCCGGCTGGATTTTGCTGTTCACAAACTCGTGAGCCAGGCTGACAGGCTGCAGTCTCCCCGGGAGGAATCCTCAATTGCAGAAGCTGCCCTATTGCTAGGGGTGTCTGATTTTCCTCTTTAAATGATATGCTTTGGTATTCAGCTATTACAGCTGAGGTAATCAAAAAACTTTCTCTATCTCAAGTTTCTTTTCCTTTTTTCCTCCCAATTTTGTTATTACTTAAAGTGCATATGACCTCTGTACTTTTCTTCTCCCTGTACTACCCACAGGAGTTTCCATTTATATCTACAGTGACATGTATTTTATGCTCACCATCAGTCAATAGTGTCCCTCCTCATCTCTTGGTTAAAGCTTATCCTCTATTAGTTTTATTATGAGGGTTCTTGACAATATTATAGCAATATTCCTGATGTTCTTTTTTTCACAAAGTTTGTCTTTAGTTTAAATATTTGAAAGACAGACTGGCTAGGTTTAAAATCATTGCCCCCCCCCCCCCCCCACCACCAGTTTCCTCAGGGATCCTGTGGGTCTTCCTTCACTTTCCTCTGAGGTTGATGGGGTTGGGGGTGGAAACTGGAGACCAGATTTTTTTTTCCCCCACCCTAGTTGAGATGTTTTGCCTGGCTGCCTGAAAAAGTCTCTCTTTATCACTAAAACTGTTAACTTTACTAAGTGTATGTCTCAAAGTAGACCATTTCATATTAATTTCCCCAGAGCAGGGTGGAGATTTTCAACGCATAGATTCAAGCCTCCTTTCATTTCAGGCAAGTAATTGTGCAGGGTTTAGGGAAGAAAGGCTAGGTACTCTTAAGCTGTCACATGTGAGTCATGCTGTATCCTTGCATTCTCTCCTCCCTGGTGTCAACGAGGTCTAGAAACAACTCTTCCACCGTCCCTACCGTTCCCAGTTTCCAAACCTGTTGTTGCCACACAGGCTACAAAGTGCTTTCCTTTTGGGGTGACCCCTTGCCTTCAGGATGAGCATTTTACTGTGCTGTCCTGAGGTCACCTGCTGTGTCTCTCTACGTCTGAGCTTCCCCTCTTCCCTTCCTCACACCAGAGTCTGAGTGTGATCGTGGGGTTTGCTGGCCGGCTTTATCTGTAAACACATATTTACAGATCTGTGGATTTATATGTGCTACCAAGTTTCACCAAAAATGGAGGTTGCACGTTTTTAACATCCTTCCTGCTGCTTTGTATGGTTTTCAAGAGAATAAAAGAAAAATGCTGAAACGTTCCTATGTTCATCCAGGAAGTTTCTTACATACTTTGACACAGAATTTTCTCCACTCATATCTTCTATTGTGTAATGCTCCAGAGATTTAAAAATCTGTAGTGGGAATATACCCAAAGGAATGGAAATCATCAAGTCGAAGGTATACCTGTTTCCCAATGTTCATTGCAGCACTCTTCACAATAGCCAAGAGCTGGAATCAACCCAAATGTCCATCATCGGATGAGTGGATACGGAAAATGTGGTATATCTACACAATGGAATACTACTCAGCTATAAAAACGAATGA